TTACATTATTAAAAACGTCGAAAACGATTCGAGCACTCCTCTACAGCCTTCAAACGTTTGTCGACACGTTAGGCGGCGGATATTTGAAAGGCATATTCTCGAAAATTTTTGGGCTCCACGGTTTTTAGCGAGATAGAAACCATTATCCTTGTCAAAGTATTCCAACTTATACTCAACGGTTTAAAGATTATAAAGCTATTTGTAAAATTGGAATTCATTTAGTAGTTTTTTAGAAAAAAAATCCCAAAAATCACTAATTAAGGCATTTTTTCAACAAAAAAATGCAAAGAACTTGAAAAGGAAGCATTTTTCGAAATATTATCAAAAGAGAAAAACTGTTTATTTTAACGAGATACATCTAAAAAAATTGATTCCGAAACAATTCCGGTGAAATTGCTTTTTTGTATGTTATTGTTAATAACAATTGCCGGCCCACACTGTAAAAATTAAAAAAAAAATACATTTCATCTTGGAAAAATATATAGAATCGAATAAAAAAGGTTTGGTGCATTAGAAATGCAAAAAGAATTTTAGTAGGTTGATGCTCTGCTTATAGGGGTAAACCGCTCGCCTATTAATCTGTCTATAAGACGTAGTACTTCCTGGCTGTCGGGAAGTTTATGACAACCTCCCCATTAATCTTTATACCATCTCCAGTATCTTTTAAAACTATTTCATAAATTGCTTCAGAGTTAAGATTGAATAGAAGGAGAGACAAAACCCTGTCTTACTCTTCTCTTTATTGGGAAGTTCTGTATAGTTTCATTACCTACATTACGATGCTGTTTGATTTAAGTAGAGGTTCTTAATGAACCTTTAGTATTCTTTCTGTCATCGTTCTTTTCTATCTTGTAACAGTTTTATTAGTTGCGTATATTTGACACAATCGAACACTTTCTGGTAATTAATAAAGCAATACAGTCAAACTTAAGAGTGCTTCACGTGTGCGAAGTCTTGTCTGAATCTAAACTGAGTATATCTCTTTCACATCTGTTATAGATTCTTGTATATAAAAAACAGTTTTAGGACCTGACTTAATAGACTGATCATTCGGAACTGTACGAAAGTTTGTTTTAGAACTATTTTGTTTAGAATGAACTTATTTTAGATAACCCAAATCCGAGATGAAGAATTTCTTGTTAAACAGTATTTGCATGTTGGCTATATTTCCTATAGGATGTAGATTTTCTTTTTAAAAATTTCTTAGCGCTAGAGAAATATGAACAGTACATATAAATTGTAAAAAAAAAACAATACAAGTAGCGTTTTCCTCTAACTCTTACAAAACAAATTTGGACGCCACTGGACGACCAAGAATAATCGTCATCACCATATCTTGTAATTTAGTGTCTACAATTATGAAACTATACTTTAGGTAAATGTAACTGATATAGTCATTCTAGGTACTTCTCCGCCAGTATTAAGTGGGCCTTTAGCACGGCTTCCCATACTAAGCAGTCCCAACTTAAACGACAACAATAACCTGGGGCGGTCTCCTGTGATTCCATTTTGTACGCGAGCCGTGACGTTGCCAGAAATATCAGAAATGGGAAATTATCAAGCCTTTTTAAATGAAACGTCTGCCAGCAATGATATACACCCAATTACATTTTTGGCGCCTGAACTTCCCGAAGAAACGCTGTTGGAGGTAAGGACTGTTTGTTGCATTTGTTACATTGTAAGCTGTATATGATTTTGTGTCATTAGATCTTAATACAACTGCTGCTCGGAACAATTACATATAAATGAAACGTTGACTAATGTGTTTAGGCCTGTGGTGTGATTTTAAAAATGGAAAAAAATATTTCGTAGTTATATTTAGCATACAAAATATTGTTTTAAGTTAAGTTATATACATCAGTATTTGATACATTTGTTTGATGGCAAGACGCCATGAGTCAAAGAGATCGGTTACATTGACAGACAGTTTCTAATTAGCAGGATCCAATTGTTTAGAGACTGTACTTGACTAATCTATTATTTTCCCCCCCAAAATAATCGCTGACATGCAGTTTTTTATGACCAAATTTCAACTGAACTTATTAAAAAGAAATAGGGCATTGGCGCTTTGAGTGAAATTGAAAAGACACTTCAAAAGTTACAAAAAATGGCGCCGCTAAAATCACATTTTTTAAAACTCGTGGGCTCATTTTTCCTTTGAACTCTTCATTCATTAATTCATAAATTTATAATTACCATAAAAATTGTTACTAATATGAAAAAATATTTTACAGAAAGAACACAATGAAACGTTGGCAAAAATAAACTTCGTCTTGGCATTAAGTAACTGTATTTTGGAAATGGCTTCCCAAAGGTCAGCACCCCTATCTATGCTTGTGGATCATTCTCGACAAAATCCTCCCACAAATGAGGCTACGAAAAGAGCTGAACAACTAGTATTGTCGGTGAGAGCGTTGCAATTGCTTAGTTCCGGGCTGGCTCTGGCTACTAAGCAAATTAAGGCTGGACAATTGAGGCCTAGTAGTACTGTTAAGACTGGTGAGTAGTAGTTTTTAACATTTATTTAACAATTTGTCCCAAATGGTTGTAAACCCGTTAAAAGTATTCTATTCTTAAATTTTCAGTATGATCCTTTATTTGTAATAATCCTAACCGTAACTGTCTTAAATTAGAGATTAAATCTAAATAAGAATGCCAAGAAAATATGTCCTAAAGAGATTAACAAAATTATAAATCTGCGAAATCATACCTGATTAGTATTGAATAGTACCAAGGAAGAATGTATACAAATGCAAAAAATAAGCAAAGAAAGCAACTAATCAGATTAGATGTGTCAAGATGCAAACCATAAAATACTACTGCATAAATAGGATATAAAAATGGAAGAATTACTTTGAAAGCTCATTAAACAAAGAGTTTTCACATAACCAGCAAATAGTAACATCAATTGTGTCTAAAAGAATAACAGAATCCTAAATTCCAAATTTAGAAATATGCTGGTCATTACCAGTAAGTTCTTCTTCTTGTAGATCTAACGATCCTTTAATTTCGTTGCTGAAGTATTTCTTGAGAGGTAGACCGCCAGCTGTCTCTCCCTTTCTTTGGTGGTCTATCCGGTGGTTTGCTAGCTGGTTTTCCTTATAACGAAGTTTTTGGTAGCCTGTGCTCCTTCATCCTTTTTACATGATTGTACCATTTCCTTCGTCTTTGTTTACCTCTTCTCACTACATCTTTTACGCCACAGAGTTCCCTAAGAATCAACTCATCACTTACCAACAGAAAGTCGAGTCGGCAGGAACTTGGAGGAAGTAAAGATAAAAAGAGGCGTAAGGCAAGGTTGCATACTCTCCCCCTTATTGTTCCATATATCTATATTAGGAAGAAATAATTAAAAAATCACTCGAAAATGTAACAATTGGAATAAAAGTCAACGGCAGACCCATCAACAATATCAGATATGCCGATGATACTATACTAATTGTAGAGAATATACAAGATCTACAGACACTTTTAGATAATGTAGTAAATGCTAGTGAGGAAAGTGGACTAACGCTTAATGCTAATAAAACAAAATTTATGACAATTTCCAAAACACAACAACAAGACATTTTAAACATAAGAGGAGTTCCAATAGAAAAAGTAAAAAAAAATACAGATATATTGGCACAATTATTAATGAAAATAACGAGTATACAAAAAAATTAAAAATGAGAATTGGACAAGCTAGAGCAACATTTAATAAGATGAGAAAAGTATTATGCAGTAGAGACCTTAGTTTACAACTCAAAATAAGAATATTACGTTCTTATGTGTTTTCGGTGCTGCTGTATGGGGTGGAGGCCTGGACTTTAAAGAAAGAGGTGAGCGATCGACTTGAAGCATTCGAGATGTGGACCTACCGAAGAATATTAAAAATAAGTTGGGTAGACCGAATAACAAATGTTGAGGTCCTCAGAAAGATGACAAAGGAAATGGAAATCATGAATACGATTAAGATAAGAAAGTTACAGTATCTCGGCCACGTTATGAGAGGGGATAAATATGTGATACTACAAACCATAATGCAGGGGAAAATACAGGGAAAACGAAGTATTGGAAGAAGACGCATCTCTTGGCTCAACAATCTGAGAAAGTGGTATAATTGCAGTTCCGTCGACTTGTTCAGAGCTGCAATCTGAGCTGCAAGTGAAAATAGCTGTGGTGATTACCAACCTCCTTAGAGGAGATGGTACCTAAAGAAGAAGAAGTTCCTAATGATGTTTCTTATTCTGCACTACTACGTACGGTTGTATGTAGAATACTTTTGGTTTTATTGGTGTCTTCCCGTAGGTCATAGGTCATTACGGGTCGGATACAGGATTTCTAAATTTTAACTTTGTTTTTCGTTCGCGTGTATAGGTTATCCTCTTAGAGACTCCTCAGGGAGGAGTTTTGTCCCTCTTGCTGTGGTGCCTGGTGGTTTACGACCTACTTAAGCGATTTTTCAAATAAGGTATATATACGCAGGTCTACGTCAATGACGCAGTTATACTGGTTGAGGGGCTCTTCCGGCAACGATGCACGAGGTCACTCAGGTGAGCGGCTCGTTGAGAAATAGTGCCGGGAGCAGTCACTCGGAGAACGGCCATCGGACCTACCTAGAGCTTTCTGTGCGCGCAGAAAAGCTTTCAGAGCCAAATGGGGTCTGCAGTAGAAAATTCTACATTTTGGATGTACCAATCCATGATAAAGCCTATACTGACGTATGCGTCCATTGTGTGGTTGCTCCGGGCTAGACTGGCTTCAACTAAGGCCCATTAACTCACCTCCAGCGGTTGGCATTTCAGGAGCCATGAGGACCACTTCCACAGCGGCTCTTGATACTTTGTAGGATTTTGCGCCTCTACATCTTATTGGAGAGCATGAAGCCATGATGGCTGCCTATCGCCTTAATTGTTCTGGATACTGGTTGGAAATGAATGGGCCATTGTGAAATTTGGAGACAGGTCCTCGATTATTGTAATGTATTCTCTATGGTACGGTCCCTCAATTTGAGTTCTCATCCCCCTTATTGGTTCAATTTCCTGACCGGGCTAAATGGATGAAAACGAGAACCTCACTGATCTGTCTAACTGGACTCACCTAGTTCAGGGATGGATCCAGAATGGACGAGCGAGCCGGTGTTGGAGTATGTGGTAGCGAAATTGAATTTGAATTTCGACAGTCTCTTTGCGTCCATGCATTAGTCATGCAGGCCAAAATCTTTGCGATCCTGGTATATGCTCAGGAGATAATAGATAGGGCTTGTTCAGAAGGACGATCACTAGCTGCTGTTACAGTCAGGCAGGATTCGAGCACGTACTGATGTTGCGCTGACTAGTATGGGTACCGAGACACACGGGCATGTATCCCGGTATCCTGGACGGTGGGGGATCTGAACCTGTAATTAAAGTGCCCTTTAGTACTAATCGGGGTAGACTCAAAGAACTTCTGTCGAGGTTCCAAACTCCTGGACCAGTTGTGGAGGCATGAGACAGGCTAGGCTCCACATAGTGGGACCATATAAAAGTATTACAGCCCAATTTCTCCTTCTAGACCGTAGAATATCTTCTCTGGTGGTTAGTATGCTTATCGGCCACTGTAAACTCAGGAGGCACCTTCATCTGCTTGAAGTGGCTGATGGCCATCGACGCGTCTTTGTAATGAGGAGGAGGAAACTCCTCACATGTCTTTTGGAAATGCTCGGCACTGGCCTATCAGAGGTGGCAGTTCCTAGGTTCGGCCTCTATGCAACCGAGCCAAATGAGGAAGTTACCCTTAAAGAGACGGAGGGGGAGGTTACCCTCCTTTCTGTGGGGATTAGACGCTCGGACCGCCAGGAAACCGGAGCAACCTAGGCTCCAGAAAGGCCGAAGACTATGTCCGTATGGGCTTAATTCGTATAATAGGGTGATGCAATGACCCGTCTTAGGAGTTCTAAGTGACTGAAGGGCTCACAAATGAGCCCTGTCCGATCTACCATAACCATAAACATGGGTTTATCCAGAAAACATTTTTTAAACTTCCAGATATGGCGTCGGTCTTATTTTTCTGCCCTCTTAGGTCTCTGACTAGATCATAGCATTTGAATTGGTGCAGCTATTCTCCACTACGACCTTACATACATCTAATAGGATATGTAATGTTTGCTGCATGAATATGTTCATCTTATGCCGACGCTTGCTTAGTAGAATATGTGAAGTTGTCTTTGTAGGTTCTCGTTATTTTCTGAAATCAGAGCTGCGTCGTCCACATAGTACACTATACCAATTCTTCTATGCCGGAGTCTGTATCCCAGTCGTAGCGATTTCACATCTTTTATTATTTAATTTTATATATCTTGTTTACCAGGATTCTTTTCCGTTTCAGTATCTGTAATATATCATTAAGTTTGACTAGCAAATGATCTACAAATGCATACATATGCTCATACCAGTAACTTTAATTGTACAATTTTAAAACTGCATTGAGGACTGCTATTTACAGTTTGAATGTGAAGATTCCATTCTATTTTATACGTTTTTTTATTGTTTCAGTTCTTTCTACTATGAACGCAAAATTTAAATCAACTCTTCAAGAATGCAAGCAATTGAATAGCACAGGTTTGCTAAACAAAGTTGGTGGTTCTGGTATAACGGCAGACAAAATTATATACAATTATGCCATTCAAATGGTAAGTTCAGTTTAATTTTAATTTGCTTTTATTGAATTATATAAGCGTTCTTGGATTTATATTATAACCTTCTATATATTTACAGTGTCAGTCCGCAGCTTTAGATGAACTATTCGGGAATCCTGAAGACTGTTTCCAGAGGTACCAAACAGCACAGATATTGTTGCATAGTTTATCTCAACAGATACAGAATCAGAAGGACAAGGTGCTTCTAACAAAGTGTAAGTAAAATATATACAGTAAGGTCTCATTCTATGCGATGGATACGTTCCACAGAAAAGCGTATATCAAAAAATCGCATAAAAAAACATTACTTGCTTTGAAAAAACAGGGATACGTTCCGTTTAAGTAACCTAAAATTACGTAAAACCAAGACAAAATCAAAAAAGTTTGCAGAAATTTATTATTTAGTAGCTCTGTGTCTGCCGAGCAACTTATTACGATCCGTAAAATTATCGCCCTTGGATTTTTAATTTTAAGTATTTTAATGTTGTAACTCTTTTGCAGATAAAGAAGCAGTAGAAAAGCGTCTGTACGTTCTTCAACAACAAGGATACATATACGCTACTGACCTCAATTAAATTAATATAGAATATATTCGGGAATGTAGATGAAATATATCGTAAGATACATTAATTCATATTTTTCGCTTTTCAATCAAACTAGATAAAATATTATTTGTTTACAATTTCTTTTAATAATAAGACATGGTTTAGGAATATAGTCAAATACTGAAGTTAACGTACTTCTTTTATAGTATAATGCTTCATGATTTTACATATAATTGACTTTGTAAATGGTAAATTGTTTTAAAATTGGATATTTTTATAAATTAAAAATTAATGGTCCCCCATAGAAACGCCGAAAAAAAGTTTTTTGCTACATCGAGTATTTGGAGACTTATTTTCATAAATGATAATAAGAAAGTTAATTTATAAATTTATAAACTTAAAAGGAACTAGGTAGAGAAAAGCAAAAAGTAAATCATGAATAACTGAGTAAGTTCGGAAACTTATACCCCCAATAAGTTCAATTTGATAGTTGGGGTATGATGATATAAATCACTTGATTCATGAGACCAAATGTACTTCATTTTGAGCTACTCATTTATTGTTTTTTGAGACATTCGGGATTTTTTTGGTTTATAATTCATGTTGACGTTATTCATTTACGAGGTCTGTCCCAAAAATATATGATCTTCGTAATGCTTAATTCACCATCATCAAATTCATGGCATCTTTCGTAATATTCCCCATGTGACTTAGCAACCTGCTCCCATCGGTGCTTTAAGTCACTGAAGCGGTTTTGAAATTATGTTTTTGTAATAGTCTTCGGTACCGTTATAGCATTTGTTTTAAATCTTAAGACGTTACCCTTTAAGCGACATTTTCTGGAAACACGGAAGTCTGAGGCTATGTCGGGTGTACGAGTTTTTGTACGCAGCGCAGCGGTTAATGACTGTGCTGACGCATTATCGTGATAAAGAAAAAAGTTACCACATACTCAGTATTTTTAGACCTTGAGCGTAAAAGTTTGGTGATTTTCTGATATCATATTTATTATCATAGACTGAGTTCAAAATCTCTTCAACCTGACATCACACATTGCTGAAGTGTTTACTATTTTTTTTTTCTGAGTCGGTTTTATTACTTTATATTGAATTCAGTATGAAATTAAAATAGTAATGTTTTTAGGATTCTTGAGGTTTTGAAATATGTCTCCATGTATTATATTCATGCTACACAACACCTTTAAAAACGAAAAAAAAGAGTCAATATAGTCTTAAATAAAAGGGGGCTCCAAACTAGAGAGTTGGAAGTCCGGTCCGTACTAAGATAAATACTAGGATGCGAGGGGCCTTCGTCGTAGGATGAACTACGTTCAACTAAGACCCTAATTAGATAAGAAAAATAAAAAATTAAATATACGACGAAGCAAAAGGGACTAAAGTAAAGAAACAAGACAGATCTTACCCTAACAGGGATCTGGATCACACGAAGAATTGTCGTTCACATTTGATTTCAAAATGGGCAAGTAAAAGCATTGAAAGGTTATGTCTTTTTATACAGAATATTTACCGAAAAAAGTAACGTTACAAGTAATATTTACAAACAAAACGTAACGGGTTCTTTGGGTGTTTCGGTAAAACCTTTTAAGCAGATTATTTGCGGGTAGTTGAACGACCGCGGTTGGTAGAAATATAACGAAAATTTTATTAACACGGCCTAAAATGATTTCTTAAGAAATATTTAGCAAAAATAAACTTATGTACGGAGTGTGATACAAAATTTAGACAGTGACAAAATTTTTTAGTCATATTAGTAACCATTTTCCAGTTATCCAGAACAACTTCTAAGCGAATCGTTTCTACTAAGTCTTGAGCAATTTTCAAATAAATGAGCATATGCTTGAGCCATTCCCAAAATCTCGAAACAAATGTTTGCAAAATTTTAAGGTCGCTTCCTATTTCGCACACAGTTAATCGACAATCTTCTTCAATTGTTAATCTCGCATATTCGATAAAGAATGACAAATTTTCGTTCTTTTCAGCGAATAAAAAAAATTACTAATTATGTTAGTAGGTACACCACAGAGGTAATGGAAAATCGTTGCTCAAGTCTCGAGTCATTTTGTACTTTAAAAAATGGGACGAGCGTAAAACTAGACACTTGGTAACGGCGGTATACGATAAGTTCGCGAAGAGTTACGCTCGTACTCTATAGAGGGCGCTGGAATGTTTTGGCGCGAAGTCATAACTAAAATAGTTTTGGAACAGACCTCGTAAATATTAACACTGTTGGAAACATGAAGATTGGTAACAATTTTAAAACAAATCTTTTCTCAGAACATATGATCGTTATACAGTATGTTAAAGGAGAAAGATCAATGAATATGTTTGTAACAAATAATCGACCTAACATGTAAATATTGTTAGTTATGCATGACTTATATTCCTAAACCTCGATATATCGTAATATGTAGTTATTTAATGGCATATAGCTAATCGGAATGCTGGTTTAAGGAACAAACATGTACAGGAACGTATGAAGATATATTTGTATTTCTTACGTAATTTGATTTTTAATAATTTTTGATATGTTTAGATGGTAAGTGATAAAACCTGAGGAACAGATAATTTTAAGTATTTTTTTAAACGCAATATTTATATAAATAATTGTGTCCAGCAATATATGTCTGTGTTATTTATTTTTGATATTAGGCTTCTATGTAGATATAGGAAGATGCATTGCCGCCGAAACATTTGTCATAAGTTTATTAATAAATTTTATAAAAATTAAAATAAAACAGTAGTTTTCAATATTTATATTTGTATTTAGTCATGGAACAAAATAACGGCTCGAACAACTGAACTTTGACTTCGACAAAATATATTTGAAAATATAAGAAAACCAAATCCAAATAATGTATACAGCGTAATATTAATTGTACATATTGCAAACTATTGTCAGAACTTGTCCTGATGAAAGGTGAAACTTCGAAACATATGTAGAGAGAATGGTGTAGCTCGAGTTGAAAAGAAATGCAATCGTATACGTTTTCATTTTAACGTTTTTTTTTTCTCTGTGTAAAGAGTGCAAGAGTTTTGCAAGGGTAAATTGCAGATGTAATAAAGGAATAAAAAGGCTATTTCGGACATCGTCTAATAGCTTCCAGCAAGCCTGGATTCGCAGTTCAACTAATTCGCTATCGTAGAGAAGTCTCCTGACTATATATGTATCTATGTAAGAGGATATAGATGTTAAAGGTGATACAAAGTCATTGTAGCACTTCCGCAATGTGAAAGTTGAATTTGTTTTTTTTTTCCTCCTCCGCAGTGTGAAAGTATCCTCGCTCTTTTTTGCCTAGCAGTTGAAAGTTCTCATCCTCATCTTCGCTAATAATAACCACGATATCCTTATCATCTACTTAATTTTCAGATTCAGACTCATTTTATTGATTTCTGTGATTTTTACCACAACTTGGTTTTTCATAGTTTTAACTAGTAATACTTAAAAAATATATGTTTTTATATATGGACATGGCAAAACAATCATTTGTATCCTCATCGGAAACCTTTTTGTTGATTCCAGTAACGGGACTTTCTTTCATAGTTCCAATTCCATATAACTGTTGTATTTTTCGGACAAAAGATAGACAGCAATTGTTGGAATCACTTCTTAAATAACTGAGTCCGTGCTGTTCATCAGTTTAGTTACCTCTTCAAATGGTCTAAATAGTTACACAACGTCTCAAATGTAGCAACCTTTCTAGTTTTACAGATATTTTGGTATATAATAAAATGGTATACTTTAGAAGCTAAAGTATAAAATTTCATTCCATCTTTAAATAGATTAAAATATCATTAAGGCAGCCAGTAGCAGTTCAAGCACACTGCGATTTGAAATGGGCGTATCACTTACATTTCTACACTGCTTACGCGAGACTATCTTTACTCAGTGGCGTCGGCCAACGCGCAACAAATGCGTTACTCTCCATTCAAATTAGTTTTAACACGAACTAACTGACCGTACGCTCATGAGATTGAAGTCACGAAGGCGATAACGGTGAACCTAAGCGACAATGACGAGTAACACGTTTCACTATTAGATTTTAGTATTTTTTAGCAATTTTCTTCAAAGTTTGAACACGCTTTTCTCAATTATTACTGGACACAGAAAGGTGAAAAAAAATCAACGATTACAGAAAAAAACTCTTTCAAGCGATGGACGTAAAAAGTTTGGTTATAATAGAACGTTAAACATTATAATCACTATAATTTTTCAACAGAAGTAACAAAAAAATAAAGAAAGTAAAACCATTATTTAAAAGCAACATAGTTTCGAATATTGTGTCCAAATTTTGAGACATGGTCGGTAAATAACAGTTCCTAGGTTTTGGTGCACCGATAAAACAGCCTTAAGCGACTGGAATACTCCCTATGGTTGTCCGGGGAATCGGATCGGTCCGTTACGGTAGAATTCCGAATCCGACCGGATTGGCGAAGTACCCGATCCGTACGTCAATATTTTTGATAAAACTGTGTCATTAATTTGTGTGCTTACGTAGTTCATAATTCATGTATTTTTTGATAGAAGATTATTTTTGACGCTATACAAAAAAAAGTTGGTGTTTGGAATGTGGATGTATAAGTAATTATTGAGAATTGCTTAACTAGATTCAAAAATACGTTTTGAAAAGGTTGCAAGGACAGATGTAAATTTTATAGACTATACATACCTACTTATCACATTTTTCGTCGTCACTACTTCGATCTTTAAAGCTGCTTTAAAGTGACCAATGGTAGAACAGCTGTTAGAATTGATGGCTTGTTGATTTTATGGTAAAGTCCTTGACCAAAAGGATGCATTTTTAAGATATGGTCAATACAATCATTATTCAATCATGTCCTATTATCCATAGGACGTTCCCTATTAGCCATTGGGACGAACCAGGCCAAAGATGAGAACTTTGTCCTGTAGTCTATCCTGCACGGAGTCCTGCTTAGTTTAAAGCTTCGCACC